GTGTGTGAGTGTGTTTCTTCTAATTTACTTTCGTTTTGTTTTGTTTTCAGTGTTGGGGGGGGACGCAACAGATAACGTTATGTGCGCATGCGGGTTGCTATTTTAGTCCGCAAACTGAGGAATCGCGCGGATGAACGTTTGAGATGGCGGCGAAAAAACTCACAAAGGTCTACTAATAACGACATTTAAGAAATGGGAATGCCAGTCTGATTTTTCGTATGAGTCGTCCAAAGGGCATATCACTAAACTCACCTGGGATGTATGCACAGAACACGAGAGCGAGATACGACGAGAGGCACGATTACGAGGCAAGTTGGTCATTAGATTTGTAGGCTAATCGCTATGAAAAATATTATGAAACAGTATTGGTTATTCTATAACTTACTGGTTGTAGCATGGTACCTTTCGGAATACAACATTCGTCACAAGGTGTAGTAATGCTGATGTTAAGTGTTGGTAGAACTCATGATGACGTGTGTTAGATTCTTTCGTCAAAGTGATAGTAGATTACACATGCATCGTTTTAGGAAGAGGATGTCAAGCCACATCAATACTTACCTGTATTAATGATTACCAGTAAATTAATCTTTGCCGTGTGAGATTGGAAAAAATACTCTGATTTTGTTTGTTTGTTTGTTTGTTTGTTTATTGTTTATTGAACATATATAAAACATACAATAACATGACAAAATGCAAACAAAAATTATGAAAGTAAAATAAAAGTAAAAGTAAGTAATACAAACATCATCACAGTTATATGTTCACAGGCCTGCTACTGAATTATTTAAATTTTTGCAGCATTTCTTTATAATTGTATGTATATGTTGTTGTTTGTGTTATTATAATATGCAATTGAATGAGTAGACCATTTCAGAAATCGAAATTTGGGACTCTCTAAATGCATAATGGGACTCATACTTTTCTGATCAGTGAGTCCCTTGGACTCGCTGGCGGTAAACTGTAAAATTATCACTGTGTATGTGTGCTCTGCGATTGTCTGGCAAGCAGTTCAGTGTGTACTCTGTATATTGCCCGAAGACAGCTGGGGATGGGCTCCAGCACGCCTGTGACCATCGTGAGGGTGAGCGGCTCAGATAATTGGCAGATGGATGGATGGATGGATGGATGGATGAAAGTTACAACACATTTCCAGAATAAAATGCATTCCTTGCAGTTAAAAAGAAGAAACAAGGGTTTTTTTCACTGTATTTCAAATTATAGGGCGCGATTGATATAAATAAGGTTTCATGTGTGAATAAATGTGCTGTTACACTAAAGAGCTCTGCGGTTGCGTCTTCAGAACCTTGGCCTGCTTTTGTCTGGATGGATCGCGCACATTAGCCATTTCCAGCAATTTCATTTCGGTCGGCCACATAAAATAAAAAGACATCCATCTTTCCGATACTGTTGCTTTTTGACAAAACATAAGATTTCTTGAGCTCTGTCTCGTTTCAGGGACACATGAACTGGCTTAAAATAAATAAATAAAAATAAAAATTAAAAAAATGATTTTTTTGTTGCTCCCTTTATTTCCTCTTTCCTGAATAATTCACAGATTCATATTTAATTGAATAAAACCATGCAGCTCCAATGACTTGAAAATGATGTTGAGATGATTCCACTCCAAGCCTTGTTGGTGTGGCAAATGTGAACCCATCTGCCACACCAAAAAAAAGAAAAAGACAAATGTGCCATATGCTCTGGAAATTTTTATTTTTTATTTATTTTTTTGTTGCTTTTTTCCAACAAAAAGTTGTCAAAGTATTTAAAAAATAATAATTATAATTTGACACAACCCAGGAATTAAATACAAGCATACTGACGAGACAACAAGGAACACCTGGACAGGACACAAAAGGGTTGAGGGAGCTGATTGGTTGACACCAACAGGTGGAAACGAAACCAAAACAAGGAACAAAAAAAGCACGTGAAGAAGCCCCCCCCCCCCAAATATAATCTAAACAAAAAGAGAATCATGAGAGTGAAAACATTTTAAAACAAAACAAAACAAGAAAACACGTTTGCTTGCAAATCACAGGACAACATCTTAGCCTTTTTGCACACGGTACTGTTTATGTTAATCAAAATGGCCACCGCATTCCACAATGCGATGTGGCTTTCGCATTGCTTTATGGGATGTTCATTTGTAATTGGAATTGCTTGTCAATATGTTCGTCCGTCAAAAGAGTTTCCGCTGAAGACTTTGCGGAGTACTGTTAGCATGCAAACAAACACATCAACATCTCACATTACCTCTATTTCTCCATTCACAATCGGAGAGAGAAAGGCTTGCGATGGTGGTTACTGTACCTCAGAGCGTGTGCGTGTGTCCGTGTGTGCGCCGAACCGTGACGGCCGTGACCTTCACGTCCCCGAGGGTCCGCTGACAGCCATTTATCTTTTATTCATTGTGCCATTTGCGAAGCGGGCGGCTTGTCTGGCGCTGCCTCTTGTCAAGAGATTCACAACAGTCGTCCCTTCATGGGCGAGCCATCACCACACACTTTTTACTCCTTTCACAGCCCAAAGCTTTGTGTCCACTCAGAAACACAACGTGACGGCATTCCATACTCTACCGAAACTGCTCATTACAAGAGAACATCACACTGAAGAAACATCAGCATACTGTTTGACTTGAAACATTACACATGAAACTGGTTAGCTGAACACACACTGGGCTGAAACTGCAATCAAAACTCATCTCATGGTTAGCTGAGGGGGTCTTGTCACATCCATTGTTGGTTCAGAATCAATGTTTTCATTTTTTGCGTGAAACGTGGTTTTCACTAATTTTATTGCTATTTACTGATAATGAAACATTTCTAGTAGTAGTTGTGAAGTATTTGTGTTTTGTTACTTCCCACCACTGCTGCTCAATCTCCAATGAAATCTCAGTCATTGTCTCAGTGATGTATGGTGGCGGTAACAGCGGCAGATGTCGGAGACGATCTGACAGTGACTGCTCCGCGTTTGACTCGTGACTTCCTCGTGGCCTCCTCACATGAACGATGTGAGAGCCTGAGAAGGTGGCTGTTAAAGGCAACACCTAATTTGTGATCCTGTCGCTAGTCGACTAAGCCACCTCTCCCTCAACTTGCTATAAATGCTGCACCAATTTCGCCGACAGTAACAATCGTCACACAGTGTCATCCAATTTGTAAATCATGAACTCATCAAGGACCCAAATTGGCCATTTTTAAGTGACGTCAACCTTTTTGTTAGCATCTTGCACTAGCTGGCAAGTGGTTAGTTTTAACGTTTAGCTTGACTAAAGCCCTGAGTGAAACTGTATCTGGCTAAATTAGCTTCTCCCGCTAGTTAGCAGTGGAGTTTTAAACGACATTAGTGATTGACATTATTCAATATGATTTGTGACACCCTCTTGAATATCTAAAGGGTATTTTATTGTTCTTAACCTATTCATATTACACTGTGTGTGGTAAATGGACTACTTTACATTTCAGTCATTGTGTTTAATGTCAGCTTTTTTGCTCCTTCCAGGTGACAGCTGCAGAATGAGCGACTACCGGCGCCTCAAGGCCAAGGTCTTGGAGGTGTACGCCAAAAGACACATGGTGACAAAGGTGACACGTGAGGCCCACGAGGACAATATGGCCGCCAGGAAGCAGCTGGTCGACGCTATGTTCCGAGGTTTCGATGCAGACAACAATGGGCAAATCTCAACAAGCGAACTTTCACAGGTAAATGGAAAGCAGATCACCCATTTAGAGTTTAAATAACTCATTTTTGTACCTTAAACTCCTCATCAGGAATTTAGCCACTGACCACCAAATTTGAATGACATTAGTTTGCCCAATGCTGACATTATTGATCAGCTCATCAACAAGGTTTGCACACGCCTCTTCACAATCACTCATTTGAATCAGGGGTGTTGGAACAGGGAAACCTATAAAAAAAATACTGGGTGGAGGCTCCTGAGGACCGGATGTGGAGAACCCTGATGTACACAGAGATAAAGAAAAAACAGAAACTTTTGTTAATATTCTGACAGTTGGTTAAAATGCCAAAGGAAATAATGATATTAGCTGAACAATATACTAAACAGATGGGTGAGACTATGAAAGTTGCAACTTTTCTCCAGTCATAATTTTTTGTCATAAAACGTTTTCCATGTATTGTTTGTATTTCTTAAAGAAAAACATTTTTTTCCAAGAAAACTAGCAGTAATTTAATAAGGTTAATGTTGTATTTAAAAGGGAAAACGTGTAGCTTGAAAAAATGGGCGGAATACTGTAGTATGAGAATATTAGGATATTTTTTTTTTTGCATAGTCTGAATTTCTAAGCAATAAAAGCCATCATCTTCTGATAATAAAGATGTGTCTTTGAGAAAATGTTTCCAATTTTTCATGGAAAAACATCAATATGATGAGAAGATTCAGATTTATTTATTTATTATTATTATTATTATTTTTTTAATGAGAATAGTTAATAGATCCAGTGAATAAATGCCTTTGATCGTTAGGAGATTAAGAGCGAGGTTACTTTGATTGGCTTTGTTATATACATCAGAATGTCTCTTCAGATTCCTTTTCATTTATTCCATCTGAAGTTCAGAGTGTTGTTATTAGCTGTTTGCCAGCTTTGACATCTCATTTCAATACATATTTTTACATGTTTTTTACATCCACAGACTGTGCCTCATGACAGCATGCAAGGAGTGAACGCTTGTTCAGGCAAACCTCACGTCAAAAGATGATGCGACAGTGCAGGGTGTAATTTTCCAACGTGACTTTGAAGAGGCCCTTCACCGGCCTGCCTGATGCATCTTTTCAATTTCATTTAGCCTTGAAAATGAGATTAAGTACTGCAACAGTGTTCATAGACATCACATATTAACAGCAAGGAACAGCTGTTAAGTGTCTGGGGAAAAAAATTAAAGTATAGTCACTGTAATTAGGTTAGATATGACGTCGGTTAGGTAAGATGTCTTTTAGGTACATTGTTACAATGTTGATTAGCTGTGATATTGGTCAGATTCAATATTGGTCGGCTACTAGGTTGGTTAGTTACAAGGTTTGTTGGTCACAGTGTTGGCTTACTATGACATTAGTTAGCTCCAATGTTGTTGATTTTCAATGCCATACATTTTAAATCTCAGGTGTGGAATTGCTTAGGTGTGATCTTGGTGAGATACGTTGTCCGTCAGTTCAAATGTTTCGTAATTTACAATTGTATGTCCTGAAGTTAGCTAGTTAATTATGTTGTCTCGTAGCGTTGTCACTTAGGTATGATGATGGTTGGCCACAATGTCGATCACTTGCAAGGGCGGTTATTCACTATTACTCCTAAAGTAGTTGTGATGTTGGTTACCTGTCAGTCAGTTAGAATGTCATTTCTTATATCACCGGTTTGCGATATCGCCTTTTAGCTACAATGTCGGTTAAATGTGGTGTCAGCTAGCAACATCATCTGTTATAAGCTTTGTTAGTGACAGTGTTGGCTTGTGACGATGTTAGGCAGGTACAATGTCAATTAGTAAGGATGTCGGTTTGCTATGTTGGTTATTTACATTATTTATAATAATATAATAATAATAAGAATACTAATATAATAATAATAATACTAATGGATCGTCGTCCTATCTCTCTCAAGGTGATCAAGCACCAGGGTCTGCCCAAGGACGTTGGCGAGTGTACGTTGTTGGATCTCCTCAAGTACAACGATGTCGATGATGACCACCGCCTGACCAGGGAGGAATTGTACACTGCCTTCGGTAGGCTGGCCATGTTTTTAGACTACCATGACAATCATGAACACTGGGAATAAGACCTGAATGTGCAAATAGCATCTTTATATGAATGTGGTTGAATGATCAGTATTTGTAGAAACAGTACAACTTCCATAACTGATATGGGTGGAGTCGAGAGTCAGACACATAACACTGATTGACCCCCCCCCCCCCACACACACACACACACACACACCCCTATTTGAAATAACCATCCAAGGTATACCATAACCATCGGTTTCACAAAAAGACAACATATCAAGCATTTTAAGAGTTTTGATCATAATGTTCATAGGGCACTCCAAACACAGAGCACCACACTCGTTAAGATTCTCTTCTGCCACTAATGTGGACACAAGTCCTGCGAGGTAAAACTTTTACATGATCAGACGTGATCTCTAAAAAAAATGAAGAACAGACACTACTGGACATGTGGCACAGTGGTCGACTGGTTAGCACAGTGGTGGGTAATCCCAGTCCTGGAGGGCCGCTATCCTGCATGTTTTCAATCTGTCCCTTCTCCAACACACCTGATTCAAATGATCAGATCATCAGCAAGCTCTGTCGAAGCCTGAACAATTGAATCAGGTGTGTTGCAACAGGGACAGATGGAAAATGCAGGATAGCGGCCCTCCAGGACTGGGATTGCCCACCCCTGGGTTAGCACATCCTTCTCACAGTGCAGAGGTGCAGTGTTGGCTTCTGGTCTTCCTGAGTGAAGTTTGGATGTTCTCCCTGTGCCTGCGTGGGTTTTCCCCAGATACTCCAGTTTCCTCCCACATTCCAAAAACATGCATGGCGAGGTGGGATTGTGAATGTGAATGGTTGTTTGTCTATGTGTGCCCTGCGATTGGCTGGCTACCAGTTCAGGGTGTACCTTGCCTACTCCCCAAAGACATCTGGGGTAGGATCCAGCATGCCCGTGATCTTCGTGAGGATAAGCGGATTAGAAAATGGATGAATGGATGGAGGGACTCCTGGGTATACGTTTCTGTTGAGGACCGGACACGGGAGAAGTGAAAAATTACATTGTCATCTAGAAACGACTTGACATCTGGAGAACCCACTTTTATGCAAAGAAATGACATTGTGTAGGACATATTGTTTTATTTACTGCTGTTTCCTCGTTTCCTGCACATCTTGATTGGCAACATACACACCACAATTCAAACAGTTATGACTCGGAAATCTGTGGCTTTTATGTGAACATTTTTGGCTGGATATGTTGAACACATTAAATAGTTAAGCTTGCCGGCCCGACCTGTTTCGAACCCCGTTATCTGGGAAAATCTATGCTGAACACACTTCAGACAGAAGGATGATGATATAGCAAATTCTTAATTTGGATTTAGAAACATTTCCACTTGAGGCTGACTTTTGTTCTGTTGGCAGCTTATCTAATTGCATGCAGAACAGCTAAATGCTGATTCACCATGTTTGCTTTGAACTCTGAACTTCACTAATTGACCCACGTCTGGTGACCTCAGAACCCTAATGGGTTTATATTCTTTAGTGTATTCAGGACCTAAACTATTCAGTGTTCAGTATCAGACTTTTGACGTCCTTGGTTGGGAAGGGGCAAAAACTGGGACAAAAACAGCCCATTGTCTTTATGTGTGTAAAGCGCCTTAGTTGCAACTTTGGTTAGCTTCAATGTTTGTTAGTTCATCACATCATTACATCAAAGCATATTGAGTTAGTCCAGTGGGGGTAGGCAGGAGTTTGAGCGCTTAGTATTTGCCAAAAAGAAAGCAGGTCACACAACAAGTCATTAAGGGTGACACAGGTGCTCAGCAAAGGCAAACACATGTGCACCACTTTTTCCATTCTCTTTGTTCCTCCTCCACCTCTTTGCTCTCGTCATCGCTTTCATGACTCCTTTTCCCATCTGATGTTTTGTGGCCTGCCTCGATATCTTCTGACAGGATCTCCTCTGACATTTGGCTGGCGTGACACATTTAGTGGAGGGGTTGGGGGGCGGGGGGG